ATGTCTTTTGCAGCAACTTGGATGGAGCTGGAAAAGATCATGCTTAGTGAGATAAGCCAGAAAGAGAAAAGAAAAATACCGGATGGTTTCGCTCATAGCAGGAGTATAATGGACCAGGCGAGAAAATAACAAGAATAATGAACAACCATATAGCAGAGACATTTTGCGGGGGTGAAGTGGGGAATGGGATCAAAAAAGGGGAGGGAAGTGCATGGGATTATGGTGATAGCACATGGGTGATTTGGTGATGGGAAACCCGCGAGGATTACAATTGAGATGGGAAAAAAAAATGTACAAAATAATGTAAAAATAAACTGTTATATAAAAAAAAAAACTTTAAAAAATAGGTATGACTTTTTTCTTTCTCTCTCCATCAAAAAGATTCTTTCCCATTCATCAACAGTGACAAAGGATGGAGATTCCAGGACCAGAGATCCAATGTTCCCAGCAGTGGGAACTGCAGGTTCTTTGCAGGTGTCTGACCTGTGGCCCTACAAACAGGCTCCATTAACGGGTCAAGTTAGCAGGAGTACTGGGGTGTGCCTTCACTTTAGGAACTAAGAGCCCTGCCCATAAAACTGACCTGCCTGAGGTTGCAAGGGAAAGAACAGCTAAGCTCAAGCTTATCCTCGGCTCTTCTAACTTCCAAGAGGGCACCCAGGTCACTGAACTGCGTGATAGAAGTTGCTGGAGGTTTAGGACTGAGTGCCAAGGTTTAGCGTCAACTCCACTGAGTACAGTCAGTAAATGCCACCAGCATAGGCTGGAAAGCCAACAAGCCAAGCCAAGACAGTGCAGGCAGGGTGTGCTGGACTCACCCGCCACTGGACCCTGGGGGCAGATTTTCAAGGGAGCTAGAGTATAACTGGTTTGAGCGAGTGGAATCAATAGCTGGGAGATCAGGAGTATCTCCCTCTTAGGAGGGAGACCAGTCCCTCTGCAAGCACAGCTTCAAGACTCCCTCCTGCATCTTCAATCAGTTATTAAACTCACTGCACTGCTTGAAGCCCAGTAACTTCCAGCAGTCACTGAGCATTTACGACCAGATTCTCAGGCAGGGGCCCTATGGACGCACAGGTCCTCCTTTCTGGCTGGAAAGGCAGCAGGTGCACTCAAGATTCCAGTTCCACGCAGCAAGAGGGTGTGGACCTACCCAGGGGAGCGGAGGGCGCGGGGTCCATGATCCTCTTGCACAAGCTTTGCCAGGGAGAAGCCTCTGTCGCTCTTGCCATTCTAGGCCTGACATCACACCTTTCACACTCTTAGAAGCGCTCCTCTCCTCGCCTGGACCATCCTTCAGCAGGCGGGGTCTCGGAGCAAATCCCTGCACATCCTCTAGCACAGACCTTTTCTGTTGCCTCTCTTGGAAGTTCCCTGTCTTCTCCAAGTAGAAATGAGCACTTCTCTGTTGCACAGCTTGGGTACTACTGAATGATACTGAAAATATTTTATAGCAACCAAATAGAATAGGCTCAGCACAAGGCCAGTGGGACCGCCTCAGCTCAGTGCCCTGGACTTCCTCACAGACCCGCCGCCCATGGTACTGAAGTAATGGTGTC